TAAACGGACAAATCCCTATCACCAGTAGACGGACATATCAATATCAACATATAGACGGACAAATTCATATCAACATATAGAAGATTAACCCCATGACAACATATGGAAGCAAAAATTCTTAATCGCATCTAAAAATTTGCCTAAAGCACAAAGGACTAGAATTTTCTCCTCCTTTAGTCAATTGTCATTGCCAAACAATATTTTAAAACCAACTTTATATTGCACCATGCTGTCAATTTCAGATTTGTGCAGTCTCATAAAATAATTCGTATCTTGGTGTAGAAATGTCGAAAATACGAACCGTTTGATTTTTTGGAAACTAGACTTCAAAATCTAAGACATATCTAAAATTCAGAATCAAACACTTTCAGAATCGTACCAGATATTATTTTGAAACTAACTTTAAATTCCGACATGTTGATAGTTTCAGATTTGTGCGGCTTCACCAAAAAAATTATATCTTGGTGTAGAAATGTCAAAATCATGAACCACATAATTTTTCGAAAATTAGACTTCAAGATCTAAGACATATCCAAAATTCGGAATCAAACACCCTCAAAGTTGTCCCAGATAATATTTTAAAATTAACTTTAGATTCTGACACGTTGACAGTTTCAGATTTGCGCAGCTTCACCAAAATATTTGTATCTTAGTGTAGGTATATCAAAATCATGAACCGTTTAACTTCAAAATCTAAATCATATCCAAATTACAAGATTTAATACCTTAAGTATAGTTTCAGATAATATTTTGAAATCAACTCAAAATTCCGACACACTAACGATTTCAAACTTGCACGATTTCACCAAAAAACTTTATATCTTGGTGTATGAACGTCGAAATCACGAACCGTTTGATTTCTTGAAAACAAGACTTCAAAATATAAAACATGTCCAAAATGTAGGATTTAATACCTTAAGTATAGTTTCAGATAGTATTTTGAAATCAACATTAGATTTTGATATACCGACAATTCTGAATTGGCGCGACTTCGCCAAAACTTTTATGTTTTGGTATGGAAGCCTCGGGATCACAAAACATTTTTCTTGCTATCAATAAAAATTCAAGAGCTCCATTCTCACAAATATCTTGGGTTCAAGTCTCACTGAATTTGAAATATTGTGCCAAGTAATCTTTCGTCTTATAGTTGTGTCCTTTTGGCGCCTCTCTTCTCTTCCCTTTTTTTAGGGCAGTGAGCGGATATGAAGACTAACAAACTTGAAAGTTATGCGAACATGAAGACATAGAGAATTTTCAGACTTCAATACAAATACTTTGTAACCTCCTAAAAGACTATAATTATTTTATTGAAGACACCAATTTACCATAGCGGCTTCCCTCCCTTTTAATCAAACGGGATCCAAAGTTTAACAGAAGAATGATATCTCAACTCGATTTTCAAGTTCTGAGTGAATAGATTACATTCCATCATACTTCATTCGAACAACAATTGTGGCTCTATGTATCTTTCGAACTCATGCGACTAAACTTAGAATGAAACTCTAAACTGCCTACGTACCTCGGTAAAGACGATCAAGTCATACCGTAGTTCAGAATAGGTGAGTTTTCTTTTTTCCTTTACTATTATTATTATTATTATTATTATTATTATTATTATTATTATTATTATTATTATTATTATTATTATTATTATTATTATTATGTCCTAACAATTGCCTAGGCCGCCTCTTTTGATATTTTAAACCTAGAGGACTTTATTTTTGGTGGGCCATACACAGTTTAAATTCATGCGGGCCAGGAGTGACATGCAGTTTATACTCTTGAAAGTTTGGCGTAGTGACTTGCAATTTAAGCTCGTATTTTGATAAGCTTTGCAACTTGAAGATTTTGCTCAAATTTGAAGAGTTTCATGACATACGGTTTAGGCTCGTGCGTCTAGGAGCATTGTAACTTGAAGATTTTGCTCGAATTTGAAGAGTTTCACAACTTGAAAACTTTGCTCAAATTTTAAGAGCTTTGCGTCTTAAAGTTTGGCTCAAATTTGAAAAGCTTTGCAACTTGAAGTCTTAGCTCAACTTTGAAGAGCTTTCTACTTGAGTCTTTGCTTGAATTTGAAAAGCTTTGCAACTTAAAGACATTGCTCGACTTTGAAGAGCTTTACGTCTTAAAGTTTGGCTCTAATTTGAAAAGCTTTGTGACTTGAAATCTTCGCTCGACTTTGAAGAGATTTCGACTTGGGTCTTTGCTCGAATTTGAAGAGCTTTGCAACTTGAAGACTTTGCTCGAATTTGAATAACTTGATGTCTTAAAGATTTAGTTCAAAATTGGGGAACTTCGTGACATATAATATAGACTCATGTGCCAAGAAGCATTACAACACGCAGTTTAGGCTCGTGCGTTGAGAAGCATTATAACTTGCAGTTTAGGCTCATGCATTGAGGAGCATTATCACTTGCAGTTTAGGCTCATGCATTGAGGAGCATAGTGACATACATAGACTCTTCGATTTTATTTCAGATGAAAAGTTGCCCCCATCCTTGCCTTCTTGTTTTTCTTCTTCATCGTCGTAAGGCTTAAAGACAGGTTTGGTCTCCACTTGTGGCCATAATTAGTTCCATATCATGGGCACTAGTTTCTAGTTCTTCGAATATTTTGGGCTTTATGTCTTGTAATATATAGCGAAGACCCCAATGTATGCGTTGAATGCACATTTCGATGCCAGAAGTTTCGCTAAGGAGATCTTTGCAGTTGAAGCTTAAGCTCATCCAATGGTTAATGAAGTCAATAACAGGCTCATCCTTTCGTTGATGAGAGTTTGTGAGTTCGATCATGCTTACGATACGTTTTGTGCTATAGAAGCGATTGAGAAACACATGCTCTAACTACTCCCAACTATCAATGGAACCAGATTTCGAGATCTGTGTACCAATCTAATGCATTACCTCTAAGAGATCAATCAAATTGTTTGACAAGATAATCACCATACGTTCCAGCATTGTTGCAAGTTTCAACAAAGTGTGCTATATGTTGTTTCAGATTTCCCTTCCCGTCTAATTGTCGTAACTTAGGAGGTTGATAACCAACATAAATCTTCAAGTTATCAATTCTTCGCGTATACGGCTTTGCATACTAGATATTTTGGGCGACGACTCAGGAATCAGGGTTATCTTTGATCCACGAGCTCCTGTGTGTCTTCTTGTTATAACTTTTGGTCCCTTTTCTGAGTTATGAAGACCCCTATTTATAGTTGTGGGAGGGAAGAGTTATGATAAGAACAAATTCTTTCCGACCAATCAGACTGCAGAGTGACAAGGCCATATTTGATTGGCCCGAACATGTCACTTGCACATGTGGCGCAGTTTTATTGGCCTTTTAATTTGGATTGGCATGCCTTGTCATTTTGACATGTGGCACGATCCTATTGGCTCTTTCGTTTGACTTGGCATGCCACGTCATTTGACATGTGACACCAAAGTGGGCCTCTAGGAAGATGAGTAGGCTCATCATTTGTAGCCCAATTAAATGGGCTAGCCGAGTCGATATTTATTGGACTTAAATAATTAATCCAATTATATTAGCCTATAATTTATTTGGACTAGTATATGTAAAATATAATCCAAATTATTTATTTAATTTGAATCGAATAAATTTTACATGTATACGAATGTTAGGTCTTCCTTATGTTTTTGTTAATTATAACTTTAAAAAAATATTGCTACCTTTCCCATTTCTCTTTCCTAATGTTACTTTAAAAGTTAATTTTTTTTCCTTTTAAATAAGATTTTCTCAAATACCTTTAATATCTTTTAACATTTTATATGGTTTTATCTGATTAGTAATGGTTTTGATGTAGTTCTTTTTATTTTTAAATTTTTAAATTTATAATTTATAAAATTATATAAAAGTGATTAAATTGATCCCCTTGACCACCCACTTTTCTTTCATTCTAGTGAAGAAATTAATGGACGTCACATATATAGTCATTAAAGTAGTAATGGATGTATTAGATTATGGTCACTAATAGGTGTAATAATCTTTTCTGTCTTGTACAATGATTAAGAGATGAAAATTTACATCGTAATTGTTTGATCCAAAAACTAAATTTGGAAGACATAATTAAACTTATATTTTGAGGTCTCTAGCAATTAGTCCGATCCAAAAGTTGAACAAAACGATCGATAATCGTAAATAATGAATGAGATAAAATAAAGATAAAAGAAAAATTAATCTTATTAAATGTAAGCCTCGATGAGCTATAATAACAGTTGCATTAACAATCTACGGGGTAACTAAACAAAGCTTACAACAATATAAGAAGAGCCTCAATTATATTCTTTTTCCTTTTTTCCTATGCTCCTCTTTCGAGATACAAAGGTGATACTTATAGTCGTGGGGAGGAGGATCGTTGTCGTTACGAGTTTTGAACCAGCACGTCGAGAAGTTAGGTAGTGGGGAGCGAGAATCTCGATAATGGTAACCAATTTAACGTAACGTTCGATGACCACACAATATCCCGGCGCGGTTGACTGCGTCTTCCAATATACCTTTTTTAAATTTTATTCTTATCCCATTTGATCACCTTTGTTGGAGCTATTGCTCCTTTGGTGAATCGAATCCACAACCCTGAACTTGTAGGTGAGGGTCCGGAGCAATCCCCTCTTGTCCCAATACACTTTTTTATTCTTCGAATACTACGTGGAGAAGGTAAATTTTATCAATACAATAATATCACAAGTTCCTCACTTAATTTTCTAAAAGAAATAAAAAAAAATCATCTATTAATAATTTTTTTTATTACATAAATACATCAGTTAGAAATTGAAAGAGAGAATTTCAATAGTGAAAAATCAAACTTATACATATTCCCTTTATCAAACTTATACATCTATTGTGTAAAAAGTTTGTATCAATATCACTACTACAATAAGCATCACTGATAATAAACAAGCATATTCCCTTTTATCTGAAATTAAGATTAAAAGAATTTGTTTGGCCAGGAATTAAAATAAAATGATCCCTTTTGGCTTTTGGGTTGGGTTACAAAAGAAGCGCCAAACAATTTGGATCCACTTGGCTATACGCAAATAACTGTCCATTCTCTCTCTTACGCTAAAAAGATTTGGAATTTCTGCTTCCCTTTCACTTCACATTACAATTTCATTCTCACTCTCCGTTTCAATCCACCCCAATTCCCATTTCAGGTAATTCTCTCCCTCTCTACATCTGTATACATTTTATTGTTATCTAAGTATCTGCTGCCTCGTACCAGCATAGGTTGGTTAAATTTGTCCACCAAGGTTTAGAAAATGGTTCTAGATATGTATATATACACCAATTGTCTGTTCAATCTTTATTGGGTTTTGTGGGATTTCTTGCTAGAAACCGTTTTTTGATAGAATCTGACGGTGTCCGTATAAATTTGTGTATATAGAGGGAAGATGTGATAATCAACTTAATTGATTTGGATCCTTTTTTACCCATAACTTGAATGTTGGTGTTGCTCCACTTGATTTGGAGTTTCTTTGGTCCCTTCTAGGAAAGATTGTAATTTGATTGTAACTTGGGGTATAATCAAATTTTAGCCTTAAGTTTTTTCGCAAGTACTCATATCCTGTGCCTTTAACTGTATGCAATTGATTAAGATTACAAGTTTCATGCGTAGAGGATTTGGTACTTTTACACGATTAGTTTGTGAATCTGTTAAATATTTGCCAAATTCAAGCTTGTTCAAGTAATTTCTATATTGAAGTAATCTGGGCTGTGATGTTGAAATGTGTCAAAATTTTGTGCTGTTGTGGAATTTGCCCCCAGATATTTAGGTTTTTATGGTCGGAAATGGATAGCTCATTGCCCATAGACCTGCATTACACTGTAGTTTCGAGTTAGGCGTGAAAAGTTTGAACCTTTTTGGCGCATTTCCTACTTTTTGAGAGTAAATGATACTGGCGCTAGCTAATTCAATTCTTTAGTTTGTGGCAAAGAGTTTTAGAAGATTCTCGGTTATTAAGTCCTGATAGCCGTTGGCGTACTAAGGAGTTACGTATTGGAGCTTACATGTTTGCTCCTACGGTAATGAGGACGGTCCGACGGGGGATAAATAATTTTAAGTTGGGAACTGAAAAGGCCAAAGGGGTAATTAAAAAGAAGGCTGGATTTAGTGAGTTGTTTTTCGTCATTAATGACAAGTAAACAAGATAGGTATGATAAAAGAAAGGGTTTGTTTTGCTCTAGACGAGTTTGCATGAACATGAAATGACTGAGGCTCAAAAGGTTATAATATATCTTTTTGTCTCTCTCTGTCTCTTGTTTTCTTGTTGGTAGCCATCTTTTTATGTGGGATGCGTTGAGTTCGATAGAGCTTATACATTTGCTTGATATGCAAAGGACTATTACTCGCTCCAGACAACTTCTCATTCTCTGGGTTCTTTTGGTTTCTGGATAATATCATTGAGACTCATTAACCCCACCGGTCCTCATATGATTGAAGTATCTTGTATTTGGGGATTGTGTTGGGATTCTATAATTCCACTATTATGGATTAGGGGTGACAATCTGCCCCTTCTCACTGTCGCTGCATGCTTGACCCTGAAAGCCTATTGTGTCCTTCATGGGTCAATTTCTTTTAATTCGGGATTCATTTTTTTTTGTGTGGACTGAAACATGTTATAAAAACGAAAATATTCTATCCAGTAACCCATCTCTAGTTGTATAATCCTGCCAAATCCCAGTCATGAACCAAACAATTCCCATAGGTTTTGCAAATAATTATGGACAAGAGTGGGTTGCTCTAGTGGTGAGCACCCTGCACTTCCAACCAAGAGATTGTGAGTTCGAGTCGCCCCAAGAGCAAGGTGGGGAGTTCTTGGAGGGAGGGAGCCGAGGGTCTATCGGAAACAACCTCTCTACCTCAGGGTAGGGGTAAGGTCTGCGTACACACTACCCTCCCCAGACCCCACTAGTGGGATTATACTGGGTTGTTGTTGTTGTATGGACATGCTGTAATCATGGCACAAGAATACATAGTGCTTTATAGGGAAAAAGTTAGCTTCTATGTGCTAATGGATTTCTGTTATGGGCTTATTTGTAATTAACAAGCTTTTGGTCTTGCTTTCTTCAATGCTATTTGAAAGATGATAAAACTATAAGCCATAAAGAAAATGTGTCTCTACTATCTAATCTAATACTGCTTCTATCTTTCATTGCTTAGTTTTCCTTATTGTTGCATGTTCCAGAGGATAGGCAAGTTTAGCAACAATTCTGAACTTCGTCACCTTACTTTCCTTTTTCCCCACTTCTTGTTTCAGAGCGAAGCTAATTTACATCACTCATGGATCGCCTAACCAGTGCTGCACGTCTCATGATAGTCTCAGATCTAGACCATACAATGGTGGGTTTGTCATAGTTGTCATTTCTCCTGCATATGCTGCTGTAACTTACATGAGATTTTGCTTTACAGGTAGATCATCATGATGCCGAGAACCTTTCTCTGCTTAGATTTAATGCTTTATGGGAGGCGAATTATCGTGATAACTCTTTGTTAGTGTTCTCAACTGGGAGATCACCTACACTTTACAAGGAGTTGAGGAAAGAAAAGCCCATGCTAACCCCAGATATTACTATTATGTCGGTGGGAACTGAAATAACATATGGTAACTCTATGGTGCCTGATGATGGTTGGGAAGCTTTTCTAAATAACAAGTGGGACAGAAAGATAGTAACAGAGGAGACTAGCAAGTTTCCTGAACTCACTCTACAGGTACACTTATGGGTTGACATGAGATCATTTGTTACTTCAGTTTCGATTACAAAGCTTAAAGTTAATAGTAGAACTTGAAAATCAGTTATGTTTAAAAATAGTATGTAAACTGAAACATAACTTCAGCAACTGATATCTGTAAAAGCAACTTCTTTTAATCCCTGCAGTCAGAAACGGAGCAGCGACCACACAAGGTCAGTTTCTATGTTCAGAAAGACAAAGCACAAGATATAATGAAAACTCTTTCCAAGCGCTTCGAAGAACGTGGGGTACGACACAACTTTTGCACTTCAGATTTTGGCATCAATATGAATAAGTTCATACAGCAAGATGAGAGCATGTCATTCTTTCTACGCTTCAGTGAACTCAATTCATTTAGATTCATATTGAGTTTCATTTCTTTTCTATCTGATTTTTTCTGTCTTTTGTGGTCATCAGCTGGATGTCAAAATAATTTACAGTGGAGGCATGGATCTAGATATATTACCACAAGGTGCTGGCAAAGGACAAGCACTTGCATATTTGCTTAAGAAATTGAAGAGTGAGGGAAAATTACCAAACAACACCCTTGCCTGTGGTGACTCTGGGAATGATGCTGAGCTATTCAGTATCCCAGATGTGTATGGTGTAATGGTTGGTGGTTCAGCTGTTTTCCAATATATCCTTATAATCCGGTAATATATTTTCATGTTTGTGGTCAAAAGTACTCTCTAAGTGTACAGTCACTTTGCAGGTAGCTAATGCACAGGAGGAATTATTGCAATGGCATGCTGCAAATGCGAAGAATAATCCTAAAGTAATTCATGCAACAGAGAGGTGTGCTGCCGGTATCATACAAGCTATTGGTCATTTCAACCTAGGTCCAAGTACCTCCCCTAGAGATGTTATGGATTTGTCAGACTGCAAGATGGAGAACTTTGTTCCCGCCTATGAAGTTGTCAAATTTTACCTATTTTTTGAGAAATGGAGGCGTGGAGAAATTGAGCATTCTGAGCATTACCTGTCAAACCTTAAAGCAGTGTGTGTATGTTTTAGTACCCTATACCTACTGTTATTTCATTTTCTTANAAAAAGAAAGATTTTCCCCCCAAGTCTGAACAGAATATAGGCACTTTTAATTTTTTTGGTATCCACATGTATGAATTTTAAATAACAAACTGAAGTAGTATCTTATACTCAATAAATAATTAAAAAAAGTGGTATCTTGTACTCTCCATGTACTCTCTCTCTCCCCTCATGGTTTTGATTTCTGGTTGAGTGGGAGGGCGAAGGTGAGTGGTGGGTTTAAACCAGGTGATTATTTTGTCATTGTGGTTAGCGATCGTATCGGAGCTTGATGAAGATGTCACGCATCATATCGGAGCTTGATAGATGAAGTGGAGGCTCGCTTCCAGTGTCTTATGTGATAAGAATGTGCCGCTGAAACTTAAAGGTAAGTTCTACAAGATTGTAGTTAGACCGACTATATTGTATGGAGCAGAGTGTTGGCCGGTCAAGAACTCTCATACCCAGAAGTTAAAAGTAGCTGAGATGAGGATATTGAGGTGGATGTGTGGGCATACCCGGTTGGATAAGATTAAGCATGAAGTTATTCGGAAAAAAGTGAGAGTGGCCCCTGTGGAGGATAAGATGCATGAGGCGAGGTTGAGATGGTTCGGGCATGTTAAGAGAAGTATAGAAGCCCCAGTTAGAAGGTGTGAGCGGTTAGCCTCGGTGAGCGGCATGCGGGGTAGAGGTAGGCCTAAGAAGTCTTGGGGAGAGGTTATTAGGCGGGACATGGCGCAGCTGGAGCTGACTGAGGACATGACCCTAAACAGGAGGGTGTGGAGGTCAAAGATTAGGGTAGAAGGTTAGTAGGTAGTCGAGCGTTTCTCTTTGTCTTACTAAGTTCGCTAGCATTAATGTTAGTAAGTTTTCTTTTATTCATAGATGGCTATTATTACCTAGAGTTTGATTGCATTCTTGGATTCGATCTTATTTCATCTTGCTGTTATTCCTGCTTGTTGCAATTACCTTTTCTTTTTCGGTCATTCTCTAGCCGAGAGTCTATCGGAAACAACCTCTCTGCCCTTCCAAGGGTAAGAGTAAGACTGCGTACATCTTAACCTCCCCAGACCCCACTCGTGGGAAACTACTGGGTTTGTTGTTGTTATTGTTATTGTTGTTGTTGGTTAGCGATCCTTATTTGCCAACTCTTCTATTACTGCAGAGACCATCTGGTACTTTTGTCCACCCATCTGGTGTTGAGAAATCCCTCCAGGAATGTGTAACTTTATTCGGGACATGTCATGGTGACAAACAGGGGAAACAATTTCGTATTTGGGTCGATCAAGTTTTACCTGTACAGGTTGGTTCGGACTCATGGTTAGTGAGTTTCAAGAAATGGGAGCTCTCTGGTGAGTATCTTTTACCTCATGCGATGGTCTTTCATTTTGCTCTCAACTTTGTACATGCTCCTAGAAGTCAGTGTGTTTCTCTTCACTTTTATAGTCTATCACATGCTTTTCCCAGACTGGGCCTTTCACGTAATAATTCGACCTCATTTACTAAATTCTGTCCCTCCCTTGGTGTTTTTGTGTGCTAAGTTGCTCGAACTCTTCACTTTCGTTCCGCACCCGTGTTGACACGACGTGGGTGCGGGATCCGTACCGGATCTGGTCAACCGGTTGTTTTGGGTACTTTGATCAAAATCGACGGAGAAATTTGGGACAGATACAATAATTTTTTAAATCAAAACAAAAGCTAGGGTGAAATTGAAGAAAATGGAATATCTTGTATATAGAAATTGCAATGTCATTCCTTTTCCTTTTATCTCCTCGGATTCTCCTCTTGATCAATATATTATCCTTCTAGGAATACCTTGTAAATTATCCACATAGTGTCACATAATTTAGACATATTTTATAACTCTAATTTTAGATATTTGGACTATCTTTAGCCAAATCCCTACACTCATATCCGTACCTGAATCTGTCTCAAAATTTAGATCATGAAAGGATCCAACCTCTAGATCCACAACCGTATCGGACACTCGTATCCCATTCCGAGCAACTTAGTTTGTGTGGCTCAAACACCCTTTTATGTGATTTTCCTCCATCTTAATGTAGATGTGTTTTTCTTCCTTCAATGGTAGTGAAGTAATTTTCTGAATAGGCTTAAGGAGGAGCTGAGTATCTGTAGTTATTTATTGTAACTTGTTATTAGACCTGCTTGCATTTCAAATTCTATCTTAAGCTTTCGAAGGTTTTTGAGTTTTATTAGTTGAAGAACAAACTAGGAGGAGGGAAGGTGTGGGGTAAAGAGATATTACTTACGTTGTTGAAATAGAAATCTTTTGTTTGCTTCAAGCATGCAAACATGTTGTTTGAAGTTGTGTTCCAGCAACAGAGACGAGCCATTTGGAACAGTTGATGCCTGAAGCCATACTTTAAATATGCGTCAACGAGATAATAATTTGGGTTCTTTCCTTTTGGAATACTTTGGCTAGCTATCTCAATCGCACAGCAGTTTTATATACTCATTCCTGCAAATCACAGCCACAGTCTACCAATTGTGCACTGATTCTGTTCCTTGCCTTACGAGACTTCTTGAGCATACACCAAATCCCACGCTAAGCCCTTACAAAACCAATTGAAGCTTCAGTTGTGAACATTAGTAGTTGGAGCATTATAATGAGTGAAGTATCTAGCCTTTCCATTTTCGACCTTAGGTGAGGTTTAGGTGCTTGTAATATTTGAGCCCCTAATCTTTGGATTACAGTGCCCACACAGCTTTGGTCTACTAAGAAGTCTAAAAAGAATAGTTCTTATCAGAAAAATAAAGTCTAAACAGAACAGTCTTGCAACCAAAGAGTCTCCCTATTTTCCTTTCTGATTTCGCAGTAGGAATAGATAAAAAAGGGCAACCCGGTGCACTAAGCTCTCGCTATGCGCGGGGTTCGGTGAAGGGCCGGATCACAAGGGTCTATTGTATGCAGCATTACCCTATATTTCTGCAAGAGGCTATTTTCATGTCTCGAACTCGTGACCTCCTATTCACTGGCTGCTTGCCTTTTCCCACACCTGCATTTTCGTTCTCATAGCTCTTTTATCATTTTCACATTGCTATCTTATAAGTTGCTTATTCCTGCAGGTGAAGACAGGCGATGTTGCATAACTACAGTCCTATTAAGTTCAAAGGTAAAATTTCAAATTTGCAGACTAAGGATTTTTCCATGTAAATTTTACAACTGAAGCCTAATATAATCTGTCGTTGTCCCAGAATAAGACTGTCGCAGATGGACTCACTTGGACCCACGTACATCAGACATGGCTGAATGGAGCTGCAGCAAGTGACTCTACGACCTGGTTCTTTTAGATTGTCATCTCAGTTTAACTCTGAAAAGTCAGTACTCCTTTTACCAATTCACCCATAATAAACACAAAATACAAACTATATCAATATGCATCAGTGGCCGCTGGTGGCTTCCGCTTCTTCCTGGCCCATTCTTGTCTCACTCTTCTTCATTGATAATCAATGTATAACCATCTACAGTCTAAACCGTGAAGATGGCTTCATCTTTTGTAGTATAAAAGTTTATATTAGCTGCAACAGTTGTACTATTGACAGTTGTAGCTGTCATTTCTTATTCACACTGAGATTGTTACAAATTACTGCATAGTAGCCTGTGTAGGTTGTGGTATCATCTTTAAGCCTGGATTACATGTATGTTTACTACGTAAGTTATAGTGGCTTATAACATACTTTGCCTCCCTAATGATTTTTTTAGTCACCTACCTCGAAGAAACGCAAGGTTAAACTTTAGTCATTACAATAGCTTTGCACTAATCTTCCGCTATGCGTGGGGTCCGGGAAAGGGCCAGATCACAATGTTTATTATACACAGTCTTACTCTGCATTTATGTGAGAGACTGTTTTTACGGCTCGAACCCGTGATCTCTTGGTCATATGGAAGCAACTTTATTAGTTACGCCAAGTCATTACAATAGTAAAGTAAAAATATTATCTTTTGTCATACTAAGGTAACTGAACTTTTTCCGAGTGTGTCTCATCTTGAGAAACATTGACATTGTACCGAATGCGCCTCCCCCTATTTTGACAATGACACCGGTAATTTCTTAATTCTCTTGAGGAAATTCTTATTATTTTTCACTAGGAAAAGGAATTTTGCCTAAACAGGATTGATATCAAAGCATGCGAAAAATTCATGGGAAAAACAAAAGGCACCACGGTTTGGAAATAGCAAATTAAAAGATCAAACACTACTAATTATAGTGTTCCTTCATTAATTCCAAGTGTAGGTTAAAAGATTATTTATCGCCAAATCTTTCCATGATTACAACGCAAAATACAATTTATAGAAGTAGAAAGAGTTGATAACAAACTCTTGAAATATTAAGATCAAATACCAATTTAACTGCTTTGGCCAGTAATCTTATCAAGGCAATCACTAGCAATCCCTTGTGCCCAATTGTCAAATTTCTTGAACTCAGGATCAAATCCATATATAGAAGTAGCACATTCATTGCAAGTATCAATGTTTGTTGACATTGCACTAACATCCACATTAGCTTTGTACATATTTCCTGCTTTGACATCTTCCTCAGTCCTCTTCATTGCATCCTTTGCATCTTCAAAGACAGATTTGCATGTCTCAAGACAATCCTTAGCATAAATATCTGTGTTTGGTTCAGCCAAACGTTTGTCAATGACTTTGGTAATAAATTCGTCGGTCTTGGACATTGTTGCGTCCATGATAGCTTTTACAAATATCGAGACATCCCCTGTTGATACAACGGGGATGTTTTTTGGAATTTCAAAAGTTGTTGTAGAGGCTACAGAAGCAGTTAGGGACGACAATGAAGAGGCCGAGGCAGAGGATGAGGATGAGGATGAGGATGAGGATGAGGTCGAGGTCGAGAAGGAGGAGGATTGTTGTGGGGAAAGGGCAGGTGCATGGGATTGTGATGGAGTGGGGTAATTTTTGTATGCCTTAGAGGGGAGGGTTGTAAGGAAGAAAGAAATGGCGAAGACAAGAAATATTTGGGTATAAAACGCCATTGTCCTTTTTTTTTAAATTTATTTAGAAGAGAAAAAAGATGGCAAAAGACGATGGGGAAAAGAAAGTGGTGAATTCAAGGAGATTCATTGGGTGTTTTTATACGTAAAATTGAGTTATAGCTTCATTGGCTATGCTAAAATATAGATTTTCAAGTGCATATTAACCAGCATTTGACAATTTCGTTTTAGAGATTCTAGTTCTCTAATTTATTATTGAAGGATAGAATTTTTTGGCCCCATAACTCACCCGGCCACACAACGTTGAATCGAATTACAAAATACTTTGTGCATCAAACAGTTTGATTCAAACTGCTCTTTTATTATAGATAAGTTAAAAGAATTAGACAAAAACTTTGTTTTTTTATGAATGTGGGTATATTGTATTAATACTAATATTATTCAAAGTTATTACAGATCATAGTACTGCCTCTTAGGGTATTTTCATTGCCAAGTTCAATCAGCCTAGTACATGCGTTATATGTAATTAGTTTAACAAAGCATTTCCCACTAATTATGTTGATTAGTTTAAATTAATTAGAATTTGGTAGTTTATGTTATGAAAGAAGTTATGCCGGGATAACTTTTGTGTAAATAACACGATATCTATCATTTGAAACTTTATATTATTTTATTGAAGTGACCTAATAAATTTCAAAATAAAGACTTTTAAGAAAGATAATGTAGGTCTTTAAACTCATAAACAAATTAGCACTTTAGTTTTCAGACACATTAAATAACCTTATCATAACTCTATTTGTCACCCCTAAGCTTTTGAAAAGAAGAATACTCCAATTTGAAGGCAAAAGGTTTTCAAATGACAAAAAGGGGATATATTTACTAAACTTTTCATCCAGATGAAAAATTCACATAAAATTACATAAAGCTTTTTAGCACTTGGTTCTCCTACAGCGAAAGCCCAAAAAGAAAAATACTATAAGCTAGACTTGAGTGACAAGTCAAAGATCCTTACACTTGTGGCAATATTTTTTTTAAGCTTCGTGTAAAAGACATATGTCATGTAATCATTTGTTTGGTTAATACAATGAGTTTTTTTCCTTTCCAAAATAAGGTTAATTATCTTCTATAAACTGTAGTATAAAATAATTTATAAATATCAGGTCATTCTAAAAAATAATTGCTAATCAACCATATAAAATATGATTAGTACCTGAAAAGTGATATAGGTTACCAACTACAACATGTCAAATTATGCTAATAGTATAAAAATTCTTTACAATTATCGGTGCATATAAATTAAATCCTTTCAAATTATGGAATGCTTGATATGTAAATGATCTAACACCAATTTTGATTTCCAAATTGCTAAAACGTGTGTTTGAGAAATTTTTAATCAAAGAAGAAAAGAAATTACAGTACAGCAAAATTGTTACCAATATAATTATTAGTTAGCCAAGAGTCTTGACCAATTCTTTCCCCTGAATTACAAACCCAACAAGGTAATAAAAGAGAACACTAATTAAATAAACATTAGCCAGGTTATTAATTATTAATATTCCACCCAAACCACCTGAATCCTCAGCTATAAAGAACAACCATATAAAAATTGTATCTTTATGAATTAATAGTCTTATATTAATTTAACATATGCACTGACTGTCAATGCATATAAGTTAAATCCAGTCTTTTTATAATTTAACTGCTAAAGCCCACAATTTTTTCCAAGGCATCTTCAGTAATTTTCTCTGCCCAATCATCAAATGACATGAATTCTTGATCATCACCATATATCTCCTTAATACAATCCATACAAGTTTCTAAATCAGTAGTCAATGCACTAAGATCAACATTAGCACTGTAATAAGAACCTCTGTCAACATCTTCAATTGTCTTTTTCATTGCATCAACTGCATTCTCGTACACTTCTTTGCATACCAAAAGACAGTCTTTAGTAAAAGGATCAGCTGCTGGATCAGATAATCTCTTTTCGACAACGGTGTCAAGGAAATCTTCTGTCTTAGACACTGATTTTTCCATTAGTGAATCAACATAATGGTTTACAGAATCTTTGTTTCCAAGTGAAACTTGATCATTTGTTGGAATTTCAAGATTTTCTGTGGATGGTGAAGGAGATGGTGATACATTTGGTGATGAAGAAATGTAAGAAATAGGGGTAGGGGTAGGGGTAGGGGTAGGGGTAGGGGAGGGGGTAGGGGTAGCAATGTTGAGTTGAAAAACAAGAAAAGAAAGGGAAATGAGAAGCAAGATTTGGTTATGAAGAGCCATTTTTTTTTTCCTCCCTTTTTCTTCTATTTTTATTGATTTTTCAAGGAAGAAAAGGGGAAAATTGATAATGGTGTTTTATTATGAGGAAAGATGAAATGCTTTAACTAGGGTTGTATTTATATTGTAAAGGCAATGAGAAGTTTACTTGGCGATCCAAGAAAATAGATTGTCTAAAGGTGAATATTTGTCTCTTTGTAATACAAGTGTATGTTATAGGTCAAGGTGTCGTTACAATTTTCAATCTGTTTGTTACTATAAAATTACATGGCTAGTAGGATTTCTCTAGTGCAAGTTCAGCAAGTTTACATGTGTCAAAACTTTCACTATACTTTTTTAAATTGTCTAGAAATAGAAACTTCTTTTATCCATTTAATTCTTGGGTGTTATGGATATATACAACAATACGAGTTCACGTAACTTCTGCGTATTGACAGTATAATTAAACATGTTAGGGTAAAATATTCTGTGCATAGCTTTTTTCCACTCAAATTAGCTGTATAAAAAAGCCTAACTTGGTAACGTGGATAATAAAATAAATAACCTTTTGTAATAAGTAAAAAAATAGTGATAGTATAAATATTTTTTAACAATCGGTATTACTAGTATAATCTAATTGGATTAAGACGAACTCACAAGGTTTTCGTTTTGCACGACGCTACTGCTATCCTGTAACTACAAGCCCACCCCACAGCAGAGAGAATCTTAATGAAAAGTGAAAGTATAAACAATTTTTAAGTCAATATATTTATTATACTAGCAATGCGATAATACATTTATTGAAAATGCATAGACATAATAGTTTTGAGACCAATTAGCTTAGCATTTTCTACTCCTATTGCTTATATCCCAAGGGCGGCTCAAGCACATACGGGGCCTAAAGCCATAGTTTTTTGAGGCTTAAATTTTTTTAAAAAAGTTATAAGATATATTTTTATTTGAAGTCTATTCTACTAACTTTTTGATATATCTACAAAAAAGGCTCATTTTGTGGGGCTTTTTTTTGTCAATTTGTGGCAGTTTTCAACCTCCACAAAATGAATTGTGGCGGTTTTAAAAAATGCCACAGTTATATTCTCCACGAGCATTTTTGTAGCAGTTTTCTAAAACCTCCACGACAACCGCCACAAAATAAATTTTTAATTTGTGGCGGTTTTCAAAGGCAATTAGTGGTAGTTTGTAACCCCAATAATATGATCTTAATGTTTAAGAAAAATTATTTGTGGGGATATATAACCCCCACAATTTAAACTCAATCGTTAAAAAAATTATTTAATATTGGCAATTTATAAATGTCGCAATACCTATTTCAAGATTTTAATTTTAGGATTCAATAAATAACTTTACTAAATAACTCATACAACAAAAATCAAATTTCATTAAAATATCTATTGTAAGTTTTTAACAAACATTACAAATCAAATTGAAATAAAACTAAAGTTATACAAACACATAAAGTATATAATAACTTTAATGTTAGACAATCTAGAGTAGTTCCTCAATGAATAAATATACAAAAATCCAAAGTACTTGCTTGGTGATTCACTAATTTGTGTTGCCGTCACTTGATGATACTCTTACACCCACGGGTGAAGCAGACTCGCTCTTCACATCACTATGCTGAAATAATTAAACAAAAACATTCGATGAATAAGTTATAAACGAGTAGCATAGTCTAACAATAGCATTATACACAAGTTGTTGGACAAATCAAGTTACATAAATAAACAAAAACTCCAAATCTTCTAACAAATAAATCGGTCACTTGGTTTAACAAGTAAAAACAGCATTAAACAGAAGTTGCTAGATACTCTCACATGAACAAGAACTAAAGTACAAAGTTGTTTCCTCGTATATTATCACAAAACTTACAAATTATTCTACTCGGCGGCATAAATTCTAGCTATATATTCATGAAAAAGACCACATATGTAACTATTAAAGTATAAGTCAACCTCGACAGGTCTTCTAACATTAGAATTAAGAAAATAAAGTATAAGCTTCAATCCAGCCCCATGATTAATAGAAGTTAAACTTGTACCAAAGTTGACCGCTAACAACACTGGAACACTGAAGTAAAAGAAATAAACTGATAAAATAGGAGGGGGAATAATAATTAGTTAAACAAACAAACGAGTTTCAAAATCTTATGGAGCTAACTTCAAGCAAAAGAAGCAAAAAAAGTGCCAAAACTTTAACAAAAAATGTAGAATTTATATACTACCAGCTTACTTGAACATCTTGTTTCTTGAGGGACTTAATCAATCTTCTAAGGCATGAATTCTACTAGAATCTGTATTAGCAATAACTGCAAAAGAATATGAAACAAAGTGCTCTTACTTACTTAACATAACCTTGGGAAAAGAAGTGCAAGGATTGAAAATGTAGGAGGTAACTTACTTGACATCTCAACAATTGAATTCCAAAACTTTTGTTTGATTAGTTTCTTTAAGTTGTTCTTCTTCATCGGTTAACCATCTCAATATCCATTAAAACTTTAGGAAAATAAAATTAAACCCGGACAAAGTTAACCATCCTGTAGCCACATATATAGCAAGATGTCAATGAGCCAATTGCGTTAATTGTTCACAAGGCTACCATTTCTTTGTAACTTCAACTGGTGTTCAATGCTGCAAATGTTTTTCCAATAATTGTAGCTTCCTATAATGCAAGAAGTTTGTTATATAAAAAGTAAACTTTCTACGAAACGAATACTTGGTCAAAAGACAAGTTACGAAGCATAACTTACCCATCAATACTATCATATCAGTAAACAATCCTGAAACTTTTGCATACATATTCACCAGCGAAATATATTCCTTCACCATGCATCTTTGCACCGAACAGATCATGCATTATAAAAAGGGAAATGGGAAGGAGTATGATAGAAGTATTTCTTAAACTATAGTAACAAAAATCACAGATTCAAATACATATATCATAACAAATGAAATATATATACAACTAGCTTACTTCAACATCTCATATATATCTTGAGGAACTTAATCAAATCTTCTAAGACATGAATCCTGCCAGTATCTATATCAATAACAGTTGTAAGAGAATATGAAACAAATTACTCTATAGTACTTAATGCAACTGATATTCAATGGAGCAAATGGTCTTGAATTATTGTAACTTCATGTAATTCAAGAAGCATGTTATATAAAAGATAAGTTTTCTCTTAAAAGAGTGTCTTGCCAATAAATGAGTTAAGAAAACTCACCCATCGGTGCTATCATACCAACCCACCAATCTCAAAACCTTTGCATTGGTATTAGAGCATTTAATCTTCGATGGATGTGCATCACCTTGTCATTACAACTAAATAGAATGTAAAGCACAAAGAAAAAATGACTGATAAAATAAGAATCATGATAAATTTAGTTTATCAAAAACTCATAATCTGAACACCATATCTTTTAGTATAGAAAATAAACAC